TTTTTTTTTTTTTTTTTTTTTTTTTTTTTTTTTTTTGTGGGGGGGGGGGGGGGGGGTTCCTTTGTTTTGTTGATTACGGAATTTTTATTTAGTTAAGTCATCGCTTGTGTGAATGAGATTGTCTCCAAAATATCCTCTTAACTACTTTCACTGATGGATCACTTGCTATCAAAATTTAGGTGACATTCCAAGTGAGTCCTCATTAATTCAATGGTTGGTGATCCATCATCGATGAAATTGAGGTGGGATTATTTTTATATATGTATCTGTTCCTTGTGGTAATTTACAGCTGGAGTAGAACCGCTGTAAATTAAGGAATTTTATGCATCCTTCACATCAATGGTATGTTAGATGAATGTCATGCGGAAGACTTTGTTTTGAGGGACAAGATTTACCCTAAACAACCTGAATAGTTAATCCACGGCTAACACTTTCCAACGCTATAAGCTTGAATTCCAGATAAAACACGCATTTAAACCATTGAGACAATTGATCAAACAGTTGGCAAGCACTATATGCTAAGAATAAGAGATTGTGTAAACGTATGTCATCCAGCGACACAATTATTCCGTGAGTTGCAGCAAAATTTTTGGAGATGAAGTTAGGTTTGATATGGCGAACTGGTGGCATATCTCTCTTGGACATTGNGCATTTAAACCATTGAGACAATTGATCAAACAGTTGGCAAGCAGTATATGCTAAGAATAAGAGATTGTGTAAACGTATGTCATCCAGTGACACAATTATTCCGTGAGTTGCAGCAAAATTTTTGGAGATGAAGTTAGGTTTGATATGGCAAACTGGTGGCATATCTCTCTTGGACATTGAATAAGATTCAAAGGAAAAATTGAAGACAAAATCAAGTGTCCAATTACGATAGTTTACATCCTTCTTTTGATCCCATCTGTGGGAAGTGTTAAGCATGGTCAGATTATTTGGTTGAATGGTGAATATGTTGTCCCTTCAGATAGAATTTTCTGGGCGGCAATCATCTAAGAGACAGTTGCAGTAAATTGATGGGAAGGTGGTATTGGTAGGAATATGCAATAGATAACCGTGGCATTAACTATTCGGGTTGTCTAGNCTTTCTTTTGATCCCATCTGTGGGAAGTGTTAAGCATGGCCAGATTATTTGGTTGAATGGTGAATATGTTGTCCCTTCAGATAGAATTTTCTGGGCGGCAATCATCTAAGACACAGTTGCAGTAAATTGATGGGAAGGTGTATTGGTAGGAATATGCAATAGATAACCGTGGCATTAACTATTCGGGTTGTCTAGGGCAAATCTTGTCCCTCAAAACATTGTCTTCCGCATGACATTCATCTAACATACCATTGATGTGAAGGTTTGTTGTTTGACCCTCCTGCTAAAACCGTGCAAAAATGCACGAGCGATGCCTATTTTGGGTAGATATGCATTCCACACGAGATCTTTATTCATGATTTGTTTGGTTCATGGAAATATGGAAGAATATATAGTTGAAAGAATAGAAAATTTGAGAGATAGATAAAATAAAATATCATGTTTGGTAAGTAAGAAAAATAGGAAAGAAAAAAAAATAAATGGATTAACTTTCCTTTCAAATCATCAAAATTAATAATTCTAAAATTAGGAAGAAAAGTGGTTAGAAAATTAATTATGTTGTATTATTTACCCATATTTCTTTTAATATATGTATATATCATAGTTATCTATTACATATTATGTATACATTATTTTCATATAAAATGATAAAATATACATCTATATTTTTTTTTTATCCTTTCACTTTTTCATCTTATTAAAGACGAAAAAATTAATATTTTCTACTTTATATTTCTTCTATCAAACACAAAGGAGGGAAGGAATAATTTCTAATTTGAATGATAAAAAATGTATTACTCCCATTTTTCATCCACCATACTAAACACACTTTGTACTTTTTTATCATTTATATATTTTTTTCTTACCAAACATAATATTTTATTTATACTCACTAATTTTCTATTTTTTCATTTTTTTTACCATACCAAATATAGCACAAATTGCAATTGTTTCGTATTGGATTATCATACTTGCACATTTTTTCATAACCAAGTCTCGTACCCATTATGTCGTAACTCAGTGCAATTGCGATCCCAACTCGGTTCACATTGGATAGTGACCATTGCACATGGTGTGTAATCAAGTGAAATGCTATCTTATCAAAGAACTAGTTATTGTCTGTGCTTAAAGGCACATAGTAATAAAAAATGATAAATAATAAATATATTTGTATTCATATTTAAAATTAAATCTCAAATATAAAGAGGATAAAAGAATTTAAACATCGATTTGTAATGAGGGCGAGAGATAGTGGACGATAGTAGTTGTGGTAAGAGACAGTAATAATTGTGGTGGCGGTGGTGGTGGTGACGACAACAGCGGTGGTGGTGGTGGCGACAACAGTGGTGGTGTTGGTGGCGACGGTGGCGATGGCGGTGAAGGTGGAGGTGGAGATGGCGGTCGTGGTGGCGGTGATGGGGGATGGTAGTAGTGGCGACATTGGTGGTGGCGATAACGACGACGATAACAGTGGTGGTGATGGTTGTGGCGATGGTGGTGACGACAATAAGGGTGGCGGTGGAAGTGGATGTGGGTGGAGGCGGCGACGATGACAATGGCGGGGGGGGGGGGGGGGGGGGGGGGGGGGGGGGGGGCGGGNGGTTGTGGCGATGGTGGTGACGACAATAAGGGTGGCGGTGGAAGTGGATGTGGGTGGAGGCGGCGACGATGACAATGGGGGGGGTGGTGGTGGTGATGGTGGAGGTGGAGGTGACGGTGGTGGGGGGTGGCGGTGGTAGTGGCGACGACGACAGTGGTGGCGACAACGACAGTGGTAATGGTTGTGGCAGTGGTGGAAAGGTTCAAAACAATTTTTTTTTTTAAAGTATTTATAAAAAATAATTCTTAGAAACACTTTTAAAAAATTAAGTCAAACACACCTTTAAAAACCTATTTTTTCCTATTAAATTTACAGTTTTAATATTACCCGTCAAATTAATTTTAAACTAAAATTTAAAACAATCTCAATTGCGAATAGCAAAAATTATTTTATTTATCTTTTGAAATTTAAATTGTAAGCTACTTTATTATAAAAATTTATAAATTTATGGTCTAGCCCATGTGGGCAACTCAACCCATAGTTTATGGGTCTATAGTCCATTAGTTTATTTTAATAATGTTTCTTGGTAGTTAAAAAAAAAAAAAAGGTGCTCTCTGGAAAAAGGTGCTCCGTTGTCTCGAGTCTTTTACATGATATAAAATGGATAAAAGACGTACAATTTTGGACATGTAAGACAATAACTGGTAACAATCAGCCAATAAAATTGACCACAACTTCAATCTGGGCGTGTAATAAAAAACAAGTGATTTGGAGGTGAGGGGGTCCGTTCACATTGCTATGTGACCTTCAAAAGATTGTCATATAAATTAGAAACCATGTTCCATACGGATTGATTTACCCGAGAACTCGGTTCGGGCAGATTTATAACTTGGACAGATCGAACAAGTTGGGGGAATCAACCCATTCTCAACCAAAATAGGAAACTCAACCCCAAGCATTGTCCAAACCAACCTTCTTCTCGGAGTCCCTCAAACTAAAGATGGGCAATGCCTCAAAATGATCAATAGATATTGCACAGCACACAACACAAAAGACCCCCCATGTGTTCACAAAACAGCCTAAAGTAGGGCATACAATGTCCTAAATAAAGAGCGAGCTGACATTTGCACATTACTCCATTGTAGTTATATCGAAATGAAATGCAAATACGACTCTGTTGTTCATTACAATATTAACGAATAAGATCTACGGCAACATTTCAGGGAAAAAAATTGATAAGTTACACGACAAGATTAAGTTTACTAGGTGCAAAATTTTGGAANGGAGTTATATCGAAATGAAATGCAAATACGACTCTGTTGTTCATTACAATATTAACGAATAAGATCTACGGCAACATTTCAGGGGAAAAAATTGATAAGTTACACGACAAGATTAAGTTTACTAGGTGCAAAATTTTGGAATCAATCCCAAATTCCCTTAATTAATCGTAAATTAACCCCAATGAATCCTAATTTAATCTGATTGAGTTATAAGTTTTGGCACCCCGAAAAAACCCAATATTAAATCTGCTTTCCGCAATGCAAGCAATCAGACTTGCAGCTCCCTCTTATGAGAGATTGAAATTAAAGGATTGAAAATGCAAAACTATTGGAAGGTCTTTATTATCCAGGAGCAAAAAGGCAAAAAAAAAAAAAAAATCACCTGCTTTTCACTCATCAGACCATGCTCTATATTTGTGTTTTTTGTTTGGTTGGGGGCTGTGTTCAGGGGGAGAGAGAGCATTTACTTGCCATGCACCTACCTATGAGCTCATCGTTATCGTTGAAAAGCTCAGCATTTGAAAGGATTCATTCACCTCTAAGCTCCTGGACGACCAACAAGTTTGAAGCATTTGCATATGCCAAGCATGGTTAACCAGTTGTGACTACAAACTTCATGCTCTTGTGTGATCTCTTCCTTTTCCTACTCCTGCTTCTCAAGGTTCCATCACCATGATTGTTTTCCTGCATTCAAACTTCCGCATATTATCAACAAGATCAACAATTAAAAAGTAACATATTGCAAACCATTTCAGATCATTCAACCTCTAATTATAATTTCTTGAAATCTATGGATGCAGGATTTTGAAAATTGTATGCAAATCAGTATATGAACTGGCTGTCTAGAGCCAAAAAATGAACAAATTAGACACCCCCATAACAAGTATTCCACAATATTTGTTGTGAGATGGTTTTACAGAAATCAAACTGGGGGAAAAATTTTAATACCCAATGACTACAAGATGCAATGCTTGGTTGGTGTCATGTCCATTATCTAATTGGTCCTACTCATACATCAACAATACTATATGATTTACGATGTATAAAGTCTGAATTTAGTGGCAACCAAAAATAAAACACAAGACAATTTCTCTACAAAAGGTGTTTTTATTTTTTTATTTTGGTGTATCGGTTGTCTTTTTATTTTTCTAGGATGTTTCTTGAGGAATATTGAGTTCATTAATTGTGACTTAACTCGAAGCATGGTTTTGAAGACTTAATTCATAATATGCAGTGATCTTGGACTGGATTTAAGAACTTTCAAACTGAAGCCACAGGCACTGCTGCTTTCTACAGCAACTGGGAGGACAAAAAATTCAATACTGCTGGCAATAAAAGCGGTGTCCCCTGAGAGTGTGGAATTGTTGGGAGCAAGAGTGCCCCGCCTTGAATTCAAAGACTCAGACAAGCAAATGCACATCTTTTCCCAGTGGACATTATCTGCACCGCCTTGATAATATAATAGATACAAAGCACAAGAATACTTCCATGCACTTATCTTCTGGCAGGATTAGATATTCTTGTATGTTCTTTGTTTGCTTCCAGTGCTTGTCCAGGGATGTAGCAACGATTGCAAGCATTGTTTCTTTTCTTGTTGTTTGGGATAGGTTTTGACTTTGCTAGGCTGAGGTAACCTCCTATTTAGTTTTTTTTTTCTTCTTCTTTACCTTTTTCCTAGGGAATTCCCCTTGTTTGTTGTTCTTTCTTGAATAGAATTTGTGTACATGAACTGAGAAAAGGAAAGGCAAAAAATTTCAAGATAACAGCAAGTGCAAACTCACCTTTTCTGAAGTAAGATTCAGGTTCCCCTGACTCTTTTTCTTCTTACAAGAAAGTGGGTTTGGACCCTGCAAAGCACAAGACAAAAAGTAAACCCCATAAGTAATGGGACATCCACTGGACGGAAACAATTACTAGTGGTACTAGAACATTATGCAACTAGTAAAGCAACAGATGTCTGAAAACTCAAAACCAGACATTGCTTCAGCATGTAATCTAGTATCCATAATCCCAATAATATCCAATGTTTGCCTCAAGAAACTCAAAAACATCATAGTACATGGTTGTCATAAATTCACTCATGGGAAAACAATGTGAGGTCATGAAGTATGCCTTTAAGAAGGAAGTATTAACTGATTGCATGGAACTGGAGATGGACAGATATGTATTAAAGGATTAGGAAAGAAAACAAGAGCAGCCCAGAGAGGCAAAATCATAGATTATAACCTTAGCTTTCTTTCTCTTAAATTGAACTTTGTCCTTCACATCCATCCTCTTTCTTGTATTATTTGTCTTCAAAGCCTGGCAGCCTGAAATTTGACCTTCCNTCGATTATAACCTTAGCTTTCTTTCTCTTAAATTGAACTTTGTCCTTCACATCCGTCCTCTTTCTTGTATTATTTGTCTTCAAAGCCTGGCAGCCTGAAATTTGACCTTCCACACCTTCATTTACATCAGAGGAATCCTCCTCTTCCTCAGTGGCCAGCTGCTTCTTTTTGCTCATGTTTAACATCTTATACTCTAACTGAGTCATATGTGAGCGGTCTTTTTCGGCAGATTTGGCAAACTTGTGTTGAAAAGCAGATGGCTGTTCGAGGAATAGGGCGTTTCGAAGACCAAAGATTACAGGAACACCTGGTATCTGCAGCCAGAGATAAATAACGAATCAATCTATATAGTATATACTTCTCCAAAACATCCAATTTCTTGTTATGTGAGTATTATGGCAAATTGAGCTCGGAAAAAATTTAACAAGCACATCTGATTTCATATATGAGTGTGTGTGTGGGTTATGACCCGCAGCCGGTACGAAAAAAGCTGCTCTTTTTCATAAGCTAAACACAATAAGAGCAGATGATCAAACGGTGGACTTGGTCACATATGAATCCTACGTTACAAAGAATAGGCATAGCTAATCTCACACCCACCAGAGGCAAGTTGATCCTATCCTACAGACATAATGCAGTTGAACATAAATTATGAAACACCATTAAAACAACACCCAGAGTCATCAAATCCTGAATGGAGACCAAATTAAAAACTTAAGATGGTGTACAGCCCAAGGACCACATAAGACTTGCTTTCACACATCTCAAAATATGCCAATATCATCAGTTTTCCAAAGGACATAAACCATCCGATAAAGCTATCATATAGTACACACTTGCAAAAAATTGAAAAATAGAAACTAAAACCTATTGAAGAAAAGAATTGGAGATAAGTTTGTTTGGAAAGTGAGGAAGTGGAAGAGAGATGATCATGAACTGTTAGCATTATGCTTATAAAGGGCAAAATAGACAGTAATTACAAGGACATAAATGGTCATTAAGAAACATTTTAATTATTCATGTTACATTTTCTCAATGATTCGCAACCATGTCACATCACATAAACACGCTATGAACGTATTCTATACCACTTCTAAATGTCAACAAAAGTGAAAAACTTTTGATTAACTAAAATACCCTTAACAAAATAGGTGATGCCTATCCCATCTTTTTGTAGTTACTAACAACATTAAATTATATGTAATTATCTACACTTCTTCTAAATGTCATTATGTGAAAAAACTTTTGAAAGCCTTCCCTCAAAAATACACATAATGACAACCCCATCAAGAAGAAGTGCATGTTCAAACTTCTTTAAATCAGTTAGAAGATGCCTCCACAAATTTTAAACCTGACTTTATATCCTAGCAATTAGAGCAAATATTCAAGATGCAATGAATTTATCTTTTTCAATTCTTGGTTCCTTCACGTACATATACTGTATTAATGGACCATATATATTACACCTTTTTATATCACAACAGGCTCTCTCTCTCTCTCTCTCTCTCTCTCTCTCTCTCTCTCACTCACTCCCTCTTTCTAATGTGGGTTTGGAAATTTGTTTTGTTAAGGTGTGAGTATCTGAAACATATCTTTGCTAAATTTTCTTCTGGACTTTAACAGTATTTACAAGCTAATGATAGACCAGAAAAGAGAAGTTGAAAAATCCATCAGGTGCGAAGATACAACTAATTTTTTCGTTATATGATTACAACTTTCAATCAGGGAAAAAAAAACAACAAATAGACTATAGTTTTTGAGCCCTTTTCTTTTCTTTTCCTTTCCTCTTTTTTTTTTTTTTTTTTTTTTTTTTTTTTTTTTTTNCTATAGTTTTTGAGCCCTTTTCTTTTCTTTTCCTTTCCTCTTTTTTTTTTTTTTTTTTTTGTCTTTGATTTCTCAGGAAAGCACAAGATGTAAACTAAATGATTTCTCAGAAAAACACAAGATGTAAACTAAATGGATTTTTATGTTAGTAGGAATTTAATTTTTTTTAGTTAAATAATGTTGTAAATAACATAGTTATTAGTATCGTAAGATACGCGATACGTATCGTACAATACATTACAATACACCTGAAAAATGATACGTATCATGCCTCTGTATCGTTTTTGCACCGTATCGTACGATACACGATACAATACGATATGCCCGATACGTGACGATTCTGTTTTTTTTTTTTTTTTAATGACATCGTTTTACCCTATGACTTATTTTTAAATCACTAGCTAGTGAAACAATGTCGTTTCAGTGGTTATAGTTTAAAAATAAATAAATAAAATATGNGCACCGTATCGTACGATACACGATACAATACGATATGCCCGATAAGTGACGATTCTGTTTTTTTTTTTTTTTATGACATCGTTTTACCCTATGACTTATTTTTAAATCACTAGCTAGTGAAACAATGTCGTTTCAGTGGTTATAGTTTAAAAATAAATAAATAAAATATGTTGTTAATGTTGTTCAATTGAATTCAAAATTCCTAATTAATATTAAGGTTGTTCAAGTAGTTGATGTTATAAGTTTGAATTAGAGGTCTCTGCATTTTGATATTACTAAACTATGTTAAGAACTTGAATAGTTGGTGGAATATTAATGAAATTCTATGTTATTACGAGCCTATGACTTTTTTATAAAGGTATATATATATATATATATTTTATTAATAATTATTTAAAAATTAAAATTGCGGGTATCTTATGATACATGATACGATACACTATTTTTAAAAAACGATATGTCTTCCGATACATGATTTGACAACTATGGTAAACAACAAAACACGACTACATTTTTTTTTTTTATAGTGTACAATTCCTGATCTTGGCAATTCTTAGAATTTCTTAATCCATTGTGTTTCAGACCGGTGGTGGTGCAGTAGCCAGGTTTTTCTTGCCTTAGGAGACGATACAAAGCTGCGAAACAATTTTAGGATGTCTTGAAACTTCGTCACCAATCAATTAATTTGTTTGAAGTTGTTCTGATGAGGAATGTTCCAAACTATTGGTAGTTACTTGGACCATTTTTGCATTGGTTGGACTTTGACTCTTGGCCTATTACATGTGGGGAGTGCAGCTATTTTCTTATATCAAGACCGAGCAAGACGAAAAATAAAGGAGAGCACATTTACTAGGTTGACACTTGAGAGAAGCAACAACTATAAATCAAGTGTGAAAAACAAAAGATCCTCAAAAGCAAGTATATATGGTGAAGAACCTGTTTCTTTCACCTTGCCACAAGATTTTCAAAAGTCATTTTTCCTGTTCGGTTTGGCCAATCCATTAAAAGGAAAGAAAAAAGGAGCTCATAGTTTTTTATTGGATAACAAACTTAAGCAATTATATTCTACTTGCAAATGAAGATGCAGCATATATACTATGTTTTTTTTCCCCATTTTTATCTACTTTTGGTCTTAACCAGGTAGTCGATAAAGGAACGGAATAGTAATATGTAAACTTTGGGAAGAGACCCCCAGTTTTTAAGTGGGAAAGTAATACTCATTTTTATTATTGACTTTAAATTTCAAAGCATTCATTTGGTTTCAATTTGCAGGTGTGATAGTGATTCAGTAAAATCGAAAAGATTTAAGAAAATTGTGAGGCGAGAATTAATATATTTCAAGCAGCTGTTGATTTGTGCATTCAGGCATATGTGTTAGTTTTCAAGTTTTTTGGTGAGCTATTGATCTTGATTTTTGGTATGTTCTTTCATTTTGGGTGAGTAATGAATAATGTAAAATGCATAATTGCGACACCTAAATAAGCTTTTTATAGTATATCTTAAGCATGACGAAAAGTCAATAAACTTCTTCATAAAAGTTGTGGCAGAGCACACACTTAATTTCAACTGTTTTAAGAAGAAATTGAATAATACAAAATTTATGAAAAGTTTTCAGATAAAGATTATACACAAGTTATATTTAAAACAGTCCACATGCAAAGCACATGTAGACCAACTAGTCAAAAGAAACATGCACAAACCTCCTGGAATTTCTTCCTTAAATCAGCATCCTGAGTAGCAATAAAGAAGTGTTCAGGATTGCTTTCTCCAATAACTTCCGTTATACAAGCCACTGCACTCTTCCGCTTCTCATGCTCACATCTGAATATGGTTTTTCATCATAAGTACAGGAATCATGTTGTAAACGTTACTGTGAGTAAATTTGTTCAACCAAAGGAGTTTTTTTGCAGTGTATCTAAACATCCAAAGGTATGAAAGTAATCTAGCATCCTCGTATTTTTGTTAACTTCTCCTTAAAATGAAGCCAGACTGCAAGGAATTCAAGAGAGAGTTGTTCTGACCTTGCAATCATAAGTTTACGAGCTTCATTAAGAGATTCAGAATACGAATCACCAAGGCTTCTCAACTCCGCAAGAACACATCTATAAACCCCCCAAAAAACCCATAAAAAGAAAGAAGATTAGAAATTATTGGGAAAAAAAAACACAAACTGAATGTGACCATCTAATATTCTTAGATAATAATAAAGCAGACCTGGTAGTAAAGATCTTGACTGTAGCACCCAGGGTATTAGAGAGAGCAGTATCAGCTGGAATGATACGATTGACAAGAAGGTGATGCACAAAAGTTCCATCACAGAGGACCTTGAATGGCTCATGAAAGCCAAAGCAAGCTGTGTAAAATTTAACTGTTCTTCTATGACGCTTCTGCTTTTTCAATCTCATCTATATTGAGGAAAAGCTTAGTACATTGTATCAAACTATATTAGGGACGACCACAAATGAAGCATCCATTAACTTTAACCACTTTATGGCATAAAAACACAGAAATTCTTATGCACCCACAATAGTGCCTTCAGAATTAGCAATTATCACAGAGAAGAAAACAAAAACAATCAACCATAATCAAGCCTATAACCATAAATTACCTTCACATAACCTTAATTCCTTGAAATCATCAATAGCAATACAAACTCTGTAAAGCTCACTATCCACTGCACGCAGCTTATTCAACTTCTCCTTCAACTCCAACCTATTCGACCACTAAATCAGAGCCAGTCGATTCGCTACAATAGCCTCTTCAAACTTGAGGTGCGTGTCATGAAAAACCAATGGGTTTAAGGATCTCCAATGAAATCTCCGGTTAGGTATCTGAAACAAAGGGGGAGTGAGGAGATGAGCGGCAGTGGTGAGAGAAAGGAGCAATATGTTGGTGGGAAGAAGGGTTTTAGGACGGCTGCTTTAAGGGGTCAAAATGGAGTAAATAATCAGCGTAACGGTTATAACACGGCAGCTGTAGCAGACAGTAATAGTGATGAGATGGACATGGATAGTCTTCAAAAAACTTTCAAAGGTAATAATGGCTATGGGAGTAGTACATAGTTAATGTAACTATGGTTTTTGCATTTAAAGCCTGGACCTTTGGGCAAAAGAACTTAATTATGAAGTGTTGTACAACTGCATTACCTGAACTAGATGAGAGTCTTTGATTGCACTTGGCAGTCTTTGGTTTATTATCCTGTAGGTGCATATTTATGCACTAAGCATCGGTAGTTAACTTTGTAAATCTATTGGTTCTTAGAAACATCTTCTTCTTGCATGATTTGAGATCTCTTTATGATTTGCTTCTTTTTTTTCTTTTCTTTTTTTGTATTTGCAGGTTTCTTAAGTTAATGACGCTAGCTATAGGTCTTGTAAGCATGTGGTAACTCAAACATGCCTTGCAGTTAGAATTAGTTTTATGTAGCCAACCTTTTGTTTCCTTAACAAATTAATAGCCTGACGTAAAATGTAAATATTTTGGAAAATAGTTTTTATTTGCCTTTGGCTGTGTTTCTAGCCTAATCATTAATGAGAGGATACGTCATGCACATGGCTAATTGCTACACCCATTTTGCTATCATGAAGGGACCAAGAAGAAAAATTGCAAGTAAAGAGCAAAGTGGAAACAGTTCCAACAGTTTTTCCGCAGTTTTATAATTTAGTGGTGGTATTGTGCTTGGATTTTTGATGACTTTGAATATAACCTGCTTCCAGAACTATCTTAATCAGGTAACATCTAATTTTTTAGATTTAAAAGGATGATCCTCTGATGGCTGGGCACTACGATATATTCTATAATATTTGCCATCATGTTCATTTTTTTTTCATGAAACAATTAGACTCAAGTTGTGTATTTCATATTTTATCACTATGTAATGGAAAATCATAATGTGTTTGTTGGACTTGATGCTAATATGTTTCGTGGTCAGCACATCTGAGATTGCATCCATGTTGTCGATTCGACAAATGGTCATGTAGCTGCACTTAGGAAGGTTTTCACACCTGATCATCTACGTGATTACACTCTTTTTTTTTATAAATCACATGCTAATAAATTCTCTATTTCCAACACATGCACACATGTAGACACATACATTGGGAAAAGTAAGTTTAGGTCTTGATGATATTTTTCCTTTTTTTAATATACATATCAAATTGTGCCCAAAAGGACAGAAAGAGCTCACGGTTATTTAAGCATCATCAAAGAAAATTTAGAAGGAGCTTGGTTGAAAAGTAAGTTTCTAACCAGTATTCTTATAATCTGTTGATGCTCATGGATGGAAATGTCTGGCTGTACTATGTAGGATGTCCGATCACCATATTGTCACATTTATTTTTCTTCTTTAAACCCCATTCCCATAGGTTATATATATTATTTCATACATTATGTCAATCTTGGAAAATCACCACTCTTAAAAAGGTTTGTCTTTATAACATAATACAGCTTAGTTTCTGCCCCAATAATCTACAAATTCCTATCTCAATGTATTTCCATTGGTATAAAAAAAATTATAGTCTCAAAAAAATGGGCATTATCGAGCGTGCCTTGCATGAAGGCTCCTCACTGGTGTTAAATAAACAAGTGAACAATGTGACCCCATTTTTTTTCCCGGTAAGTAACCCCTCTTTTGTTATATGAGCAGTTAGCATCTTAGATGAAGGGCAGTTATTTGAATCATAGTTTTAAAACCCGGCCGGACATCAACCTGGCAAAAGAAGTTGGACTGGTAATATAATAAAAAAAATAAAAAAAAATTATAAATAATAATAAATAGGCTAAAAAATCACAATAATTATGAAAATAGCATCAAACATGTAAAGTTATTCAGAGAAAAATCATCAAACATGTATCCAAGAATGCCTAATCTACTCAACCTCAACCCACAGCCACAAGCAAAATAAAAAAACTTGCCCTAATCTGCTTAATTGATCAAACAATATGCTCTTAATTGATTGCATAATTTTTGAAATAGAGCCCTATATAATCTTAATTGCATAATCTTAGGTAACAATACAAGACAACTCGTGAATTATTCAATGTAGCAGAGAGCTTCCATCGAGTATAAATGTATAAATTCAAAGCTTCAATGTATAAATTCGAACAAGAGCTTCCATCCAGGTATAAATCATTGAATTATCAAAGATTCAATGTATAAAAATAAAAAAATTCAATGTAGCAGAGAGACTAGAGACTGAGTAGAGAGACCGAGAACGAGAGAGAGAGAGAGAGAGAGAGAGAGAGAGAGTATGTACCTGCTGCTGTCAATGGTAGTCGTCGAAGTCCCGACGGAAGCTCTGAAGCAGCCTTCTTGTTCGAAGCTCTTGTTCCTTCACTCCTTCCACTNTAGTCGTCGAAGTCCCGATGGAAGCTCTGAAGCAGCCTTCTTGTTCGAAGCTCTTGTTCCTTCACTCCTTCCACTTCGATTGAGGAGTCCCTTGCTTGCTCGCAGCGCAGAGATAGACTGAGACTGAGAGAGAGACTAGGAGATAGAGAGAGAAGTGTCGGCTGAGAGGGTCGTCGACCGTCGACTAGACAGAGGCTCAGAGCCGTGGGTGGGAAAGGGTTTAAACGATTTAGGGCAAAATTTCCAATAGCGGAAAACCTCAGCCTTTTATAGTAATTTAATGGGTAATTTGAGGCCGGTCCCTTCGGGACTTATTTTGGGACTAAGGGCACCTCCAACATTAACTGATTTAAATTTAAATTTGAATCAGAATGATGTAAATTTTTTTTTTAATTTTAGACTTAAATTTATATCAAATTAAGGTAAATTTTATTCTAGACACAAATTGATGCAGATTCAAATTTTATACCAAATTTTTAACGGTAACTTTTTAACCTTTCTAAAACTAAAAGACTCCATCGTCGATAACCACCGAACCNATTTTTTTTTTTAATTTTAGACTTAAATTTATATCAAATTAATGTAAATTTTATTCTAGACACAAATTGATGCAGATTCAAATTTTATACCAAATTTTTAACAGTAACTTTTTAACCTTTCTAAAACTAAAAGACTCCATCGTCGATAACCACCGAACCTTTCACAAATCATTTGAAGGTCTGTAATTAAGTTTTTCCTTTTCATCTTTCTTCTTTTTTATTTCTTGTATTTTTTAAAACCCTAATTTCATGCATCTTTCATACTATTTAACCCTAAACCTATCAATCAAATTTTTCTTTGATTTTTTTCGAATTAAACACTATCGGTAATAGAATTTTAGACCACCATGTTTTTTTTGAAATTTTAAGTCTTCGCTACCTACAAATTTAAAAAAAATGTCATTTTATTTCTTTAATGTTCTATTTTTATTAAAAACTTATGTTTTTGTGTTCTTGAAACCAGACACATGTCCAAATTCAAAATAGTCATATTTTTTAATTTAATTCTTTATCTAGATTTATAAAAAATGATAATTTATTAGAACAATCTTAAAATTATAGGGTGATTTCTTTATTCACATGTAATGTTGTATATACTCATTTTTTTTGTTGAATTACGTATTTGTGGAGAGATATAAAAATTTCATTTATTTTATCAAATATCATGATTTAAATAACACAAAAAAATGAGTTTTTGGACAATAAGAGAATTTTTTAAAATATTTAAGTAGATATATGAGTTTACCCATTAGAGTACTCTATAACAAATCAAACTTTTTACTCATATTTGAATATAAATTTGAGTCATGGTTGGAGATGCTCTAATGCACCACAAGTAAATAATTTTTGTACATAAAAATTAATAAAAAGTTAGATATATGTATACCAACTTAAATATAATCTTAAATTTATCAAACTTATTTTTCAATCACTTATACTTTGTTATATAATTATAAAAATTTTGTATGTTCTCAAAATTTGTTATTCTAATTATAAGAAAAAAAGATTAAACAATAGTTAAAATTTATTTTTTTCAAATTTTGTAATTGGGAGTGTTTTTTAGTGGTGTTTGAAAATAAATTTTTTTGAAATTCATTTGATTAAGATTTCACTTATAATTCATTGAATAAAATAAAAATAATTGTCAATATACTAATCATATTATTGGGGAATTAGTAAAGTATGTTCGGATAAAAATTAATATATTACTTTATAGTATATATTCTAAATCATATTAAAAATACATAACAATCTATTTTCACACAAAATCTTAATAAAATTTAAAAATTTTACTATAATTGAAGAATTTTCCTGATGTAGCATAAATTAATTTAAAAAAATTGTATATATGATTTTTTTTATCCAAAATATGAAATGGTTAAAATTTTTGATGAAAATATAATATATGTGTGTGTGTGAGAGCACAATGTTATCTTTACATATGAAATGAGTAATATTAGATTGATAAAAATTTTGAAGGATTTTTGAACATACTTATCTTTATCTTACTTTTGGCTTAATGTATATATCGATATCTGAAAATGTGTCATTGATTTACACTCAACAAAATGTGTGGGTGAGGGGAGGGGGGTGTGTGTGTGTGAGAGAGAAAGAGAGATATTAGAGATTAGAGAGGTGAATTGGCCTCAGTTTTGTAGGATATGAACTATCCGAAGATATCATTATAAATGCATGTTTACTAAACTTTTAATGATTACGACTTCTATTATTCACACTAGATGAATATCAATCCAAATGTAATACAAATCTTCGTCATGTGACCTGTCCAAATCGCAAATCTGAAGGGTTTGAGGAGAGAGAATATTTGGGCATTTTTATAAGACCCAAAAACTTGGTCGGCCAACTTTCCCCCCCCCCCTATTTTTTTATGCGTTGGAGTTATGAAACTCCAAGAGTTGTATAACATTCATGCTTCCTTAGTTGTAAGTGTAATTTTTCAATAAAATAATTAAAAAATATATAATTGGACTAATTTTTTTTTATATGGAGATGGTTATATATACATGATGGTTATTGAGTTTTGTGGGGTTTACTCGTCCACTTGTTCCCTTGTTAGTGGATGGTTACACAAAGTAACACTACTGGCGTGGAACAACTGTTACGCTTAATTTTTTTTTCATATTTTAGGTTGTATGAACTGAATTGCATAAGGTTTAAAAAAAAATAAAANAATTTGTTATTCTAATTATAAGAAAAAAAGATTAAACAATAGTTAAAATTTATTTTTTTCAAATTTTGTAATTGGGAGTGTTTTTTAGTGGTGTTTGAAAATAAATTTTTTTGAAATTCATTTGATTAAGATTTCACTTATAATTCATTGAATAAAATAAAAATAATTGTCAATATACTAATCATATTATTGGGGAATTAGTAAAGTATGTTCGGATAAAAATTAATATATTACTTTATAGTATATATTCTAAATCATATTAAAAATACATAACAATCTATTTTCACACAAAATCTTAATAAAATTTAAAATTTTTACTATAATTGAAGAATTTTCCTGATGTAGCATAAATTAATTTAAAAAAATTGTATATATGATTTTTTTATCCAAAATATGAAATGGTTAAAATTTTTGATGAAAATATAATATATGTGTGTGTGTGAGAGCACAATGTTATCTTTACATATGAAATGAGTAATATTAGATTGATAAAAATTTTGAAGGATTTTTGAACATACTTATCTTTATCTTACTTTTGGCTTAATGTATATATCGATATCTGAAAATGTGTCATTGATTTACACTCAACAAAATGTGTGGGTGAGGGGAGGGGGGTGTGTGTGTGTGAGAGAGAAAGAGAGATATTAGAGATTAGAGAGGTGAATTGGCCTCAGTTTTGTAGGATATGAACTATCCGAAGATATCATTATAAATGCATGTTTACTAAACTTTTAATGATTACGACTTCTATTATTCACACTAGATGAATATCAATCCAAATGTAATACAAATCTTCGTCATGTGACCTGTCCAAATCGCAAATCTGAAGGGTTTGAGGAGAGAGAATATTTGGGCATTTTTATAAGACCCAAAAACTTGGTCGGCCAACTTTCCCCCCCCCCCTATTTTTTTATGCGTTGGAGTTATGAAACTCCAAGAGTTGTATAACATTCATGCTTCCTTAGTTGTAAGTGTAATTTTTCAATAAAATAATTAAAAAATATATAATTGGACTAATTTTTTTTTATATGGAGATGGTTATATATACATGATGGTTATTGAGTTTTGTGGGGTTTACTCGTCCACTTGTTCCCTTGTTAGTGGATGGTTACACAAAGTAACACTACTGGCGTGGAACAACTGTTACGCTTAATTTTTTTTTCATATTTTAGGTTGTATGAACTGAATTGCATAAGGTTTAAAAAAAAATAAAAATAAATTGCATTTAAAAATTATAATGTTTAACTTCAGTAAGTGATTAATAGATGGATGATTACTAATTTTTTGGACCAATAAGAAGTTACTACAATAGGTTATTGTTATCTTTTTATCTTTTTAAGAATAGTATTATTAATTATTATTTTTTTTCTTTGGATAAGCATTGACATTNTCGGTAATAGAATTTTAGACCACCATGTTTTTTTTGAAATTTTAAGTCTTCGCTACCTACAAATTTAAAAAAAATGTCATTTTATTTCTTTAATGTTCTATTTTTATTAAAAACTTATGTTTTTGTGTTCTTGAAACCAGACACATGTCCAAATTCAAAATAGTCATATTTTTTAATTTAATTCTTTATCTAGATTTATAAAAAATGATAATTTATTAGAACAATCTTAAAATTATAGGGTGATTTCTTTATTCACATGTAATGTTGTATATACTCATTTTTTTTGTTGAATTACGTATTTGTGGAGAGATATAAAAATTTCATTTATTTTATCAAATATCATGATTTAAATAACACAAAAAAATGAGTTTTTGGACAATAAGAGAATTTTTTAAAATATTTAAGTAGATATATGAGTTTACCCATTAGAGTACTCTATAACAAATCAAACTTTTTACTCATATTTGAATATAAATTTGAGTCATGGTTGGAGATGCTCTAATGCACCACAAGTAAATAATTTTTGTACATAAAAATTAATAAAAAGTTAGATATATGTATACCAACTTAAATATAATCTTAAATTTATCAAACTTATTTTTCAATCACTTATACTTTGTTATATAATTATAAAAATTTTGTATGTTCTCAAAATTTGTTATTCTAATTATAAGAAAAAAAGATTAAACAATAGTTAAAATTTATTTTTTTCAAATTTTGTAATTGGGAGTGTTTTTTAGTGGTGTTTGAAAATAAATTTTTTTGAAATTCATTTGATTAAGATTTCACTTATAATTCATTGAATAAAATAAAAATAATTGTCAATATACTAATCATATTATTGGGGAATTAGTAAAGTA